AAAAAAAAAAAAAAAAAAAAAAAAAAAAAAAAAAAAAAAAAAAAAAAAAAAAAAACATTTATTCTTCGTCTACAAAATTGAATAGACTTAAATCAACCTCCATTTCATGTGTTACAAGCTTACTCAAGTGAGAAATGATCATTTGAAACTTTAAAGATCAATATTTACCGAGTTGAAATGAAGCATAGAGTTTCTATAAATAACATTTTGAGTTCTATAATTTCTTTAAAGACTTTGTTTATTATTTTAATTTCATAAAAAGTTGATTGTAATTTCAACTTTTAAATATGGGTTTAAAGCTTATGGGTTTAAAGCTTAGATAATTAAAGGGACCATAAGTTCTTGAGGTGGACATTCGAAGGATAATAGAGAGTTACCAAACTTTTCAATTATAATCCTACCTTCTTGTAATAGACATTCAAAGGGGAGTGAAAAGTTATCAAACTTGTCAATCATGATCGTAACTTCTTGTAATAGACATTTGAAAGGTGGTAAAAAATTATTAAACTTGTCAATCATGACGAGAAAGGTTGGAAGTTTCTTTTGTGGAGAGACTATAAATATCCACAATATTGATAGGTAAAAATCAGACGATGAATGAATGAAATTGAGTTCTCAAGTTTTTAGCTTTCACCCTTATAAATTTGAGTATCATCTCTATCTCTATCGTATTGTAGTTGACTACATCTAAGTCATTTAATAAAGCTCGACCAAATTTATTTGATTGTGAAGTGACTTGAAAATCTTGTTTTTAAATCTTTGATATTATAATGAGATGTTAATTTTTTTTTATTTTGGTCAACAGATGTGTGGATAGTTGGACTAATCTAATGTACAAGTCAAACATTTTTCATTAGCATTCAAACGAACTCTATGATTGGTACATCTCCTCATGTACCAAATGTTTTGCATATGTTTAACAAAATGTACGACATATTGTTCAGCGTTATCTTTCTCATCCATTTGAACGTGAGTTTATTGGGACATGTTTTTCGAGACACATATTGCTTTTTAAGAGACTCAAGCCACAAGCCATTTTTCAAGAGACTCGAATCACAAACCACTATGTACTTATATAAAATGTATGAAAAACTCGATAAAAGACAAGAGAATAAGGAAACAACAAATGCAAATGTGTGCATGCGTACATACTTATGTACATACATACATACCTACATATATATATACTTAAATTAGTTAATGTTTATAACTTTGGAACGCTCCCACTTTCGATCAACTCCTCAGTTGTCATCTCAAAAATATGAAGTAGCAAAAATGAGTATGAACAATGTATTCAATAAGTAGCCTATTTGTAAGCTCTAAATCAAATCCAACTTTTAGTTATACACCACAAACTGATTTTAAGCTCTCGAGAATTAACCCTAAATAAATATATGAGGCGCAACCTCGTTCTAGTTCAAACTAGGGTGGACATTATGTAACAAAGTTAATTGTGCCGGATTTTCATATACAAAAAGTTAGTTGACGAACCCTAAGTAAATCCATAATGTCAAGTTAAGTTTTAGGAAGAAGTGGCTCATGTGCCCTACCAACTACCATGTACCTATGTAGCCTCTCACCTATCTTGCGGTGGGTTTACGAAGTAAAAGCCCTGTTGGGTATGTAGCCTCTCACCTATCTTGCGGTGGGTTTACGAAGTAAAAGCCCTGTTGGGGGACTGTTGTTCGTTTCCACACACATGATACTAGCATACTCAAATTCTAATCTCGAGGTATTATCCTATTTGGATTAATCTAGGTTAAATCCGTGGTATACATGCAAACTTCATGACTCAAGGTAGATTCACTACTAAAGTTCGTTAGCTTCTCCTAGTAGTCCCCACAAGGCATCTCATCTGCATGGATAAGGAAGTGATGATACTAATCACAACTCATAGTAAAGTCTAGACTTAGCTCCAATTCTCTCACGTAATGATATCTAACTAGATTTCTTTTAGACACAATTATTTGAGATTAGATATATATTTCAATTTAGATAAATAATTAATTATTATCTTTATTAATTTCCTAAATTAAGTAATAAAATCCTAATTATTCTATAATGATGTGATTAATATTAAAAAATGATTAAACTAATAAAACAATATTTTATTAGTAAATCATTTTGTTTTTGGCTAAATGGCAGAATATACCTCTAAGTTTTACTATTTATTTAAAAAACACCATTATCTTTAATCAACTATTCGTAAAATAATAATAAAAAAAAAAAGTTTTCGAGTCCTTTCTAAATTGATTCGGGTTACTATCATATTCATTTTAATTCCTAATTTATAATAAAATTGTGATCAAATATTAGATTTGAAATATTTTTTAACACAAATATAGTGGAGTTGGGGGCGTCTTCGTACGTAAGGGGTAAATTTGTCAAAAAAAAAAAAAAAAAAAAAAAAAAAAAAAAAGGGGCCTAAGAGGAAATCCAATAAGCAGCTTAGGCAGAGGATATCGTCGGGCAAAAGAAGCTGTGAAACAAGACGTTGATGATCAACCTGTCCTAGGGTTCCAATCCTCCCAACTGGTGAGCCCAATTCTTCCCTCGTCCGAGATAAGACGATTTTCGTTGACGCTGCAGATCTCATTTTGCTCCGTGTAAGTTAGTTTTCTTCCTACTTACTTACTCTTAATCGCCGATGGATCGGAAATTCGTCGCCTAAGAGGCTGTCCCGACGGAGGATTTGACTCTGTTTTCTTGAACAATGATTGTTTTTCTTAGCTTTAGGATCTCTTCGTACATTGGACACCGGAAATTTTCGTCTTTGATTTGTTTCCTTTCAGGCGACTAATCGAAGGAATAGGGGCTAAATATTGTTATAAATTAATATATATTTATTTACTTCTAGTTTTGTTAGTATATATGTATGCATATATTTTCAATCTTTTGATGTTTTATTTTCGATTGGT